GGAAGGTGAGCATCATAGAATGCCAATTTAATAGAAGAAAGTATTCTTGCATTGAGGGAGTACTTGAGTGGAGGCCCAATGTCCTGCTACCAGCACATGAGTTTTATCAATGGTGTTCCACTTTACCAATGTTAAAATCTGGTCACTTTACCTTAGAGGTCATTTTCTGTAGCTGTGTTGTCTAGTATGATAACTATTCAAATCAACTCAATTGAACATGCAATTCCTTGATCTCACTAGCTATATTGTGTTTACTAGTCTCATATTGGGCAGCAGAGATCTAGAACAGTGTCATCATATAAAACAGTTCTATCGGACAGCACTGTCCTAGAGGAGGGCATGGGTTTATTGCTTGCCCAGAATTTCTTTCTTTCTTTCATTTTTAATGAATCATTACTGGAGACTCTTACAACAATCCATGCATCAATTGTATTAAGCACATTATTACGTATGTTGTCATTATCATTTTCAAAGCATTTTCTTTCTACTTGAGCCCTTGGTATCTGCTCCTCTTTTTTCTCTCTCTCTGCCACCCTCCAGCCTTTGTGACTTCTTGATAAATTATAAATTATTATTATGTTCATATCGTAAACCATTTGCTCTCTCCCTTCACCCATGTTTCTATTGCTTGTCCCTCTTAGTGTGGGGGTTAATATGTTGATCATTGTGATCAGTTCCCTCTTTCTACCCCCACCTTTTCTCATGTTATTGCTACTTCCATTACTGTTCCTGAGGGGGTTAATTTTAACGTCTTGGATTTTGTGTGTTGAGAACTCTTATCTATACCAGTGTACATGTTCTAGCCTAGCTGGGTTTTTAAGGTAGAAATGGGGTCATGATAGTATGGGTGGGTGGTAGGTGGGAGGAAGCATTAAAGAACTGGAGGAATGTAGTATGTCTTGTCGATGCTATTCTGCACCCTGGCTGACTCATCCCTTCCTTGTGACCCTTCTGGGAGGGGATGTTCAATTGTTTACAGATGGGCTTTGCATCTCCACTCCAACCCCCCTAATTTGAATTCATATGATTATTTCGGGTCTTCTGATGCTTGATACCTGATCCTGTCAACACCTCATGATCACACAGGCTGATGTGATACTTCCATGTGGGTTTTGTTACTTCCCTGCTAGATGGCCACTTGTTTAACATCAAGTAATTAAGACCTAAGATGCTGTATCTTGTAATAGCTGGGAACCACCAGCTTTCTTCACCACATTTGCTTTTACACCTATTTTGTCTTTAGCGATCGTGTCAGGAAGGTGAGCATCACAGAATGCCAGGTTATTAGAACAAAGTGTTCTGTGTTGAGGGAGTACTTGAGTAGAGGCCCAATGTCTGTCTGCTGCCTCAATACTTAATATATAGATACATGTACATAGACCTACATCCCTATCGTTATATTAATATATTTACATATATATCCTTGCTTATATATAGAACTCTATAAATGTCTTTCACTTCCTAGTTATTTCTTCTATTTCCTTTTACATTCCTCCTGTCCCACTATCATGTTGGAGTTTCATTTGGCTCTCAGTAATTCCTCTCGGGTACCCTGCACTCGGTCAAACCCCAGCATGCGTTCTACCCTCTCCTCGCCATTGATTTTAGATCTCGTGTGCCCTTGTTACTGGGTTTTTTGGCTCCCCCTCCCTTTAACCTCCTCTCCTCCTCTCCCATGATCCCCCCGGAACTGTTAGCTCATTGCTTTCTCCTCGGGATTGTAAACGATCCTGCCTATCTTCTATAGATAGACATGAGAAAAAAGAAAATAGCCTATAAATAGTTCCAGGTCTGTCTGCTAACCGTTATGAGTATTTTCCGATCGGGTGTGATGAGGTGCCAACCCCTACCCCGAAGGCTATTTTCCGGATTCTTCAGGGACTTCTTTGCTTTGCTGCCCCTGCTGCTCTGTTGCGCTCCCTGTCTGTGCCCGGACTTTCTAATGCTCAAGGGAGAGAGGTAGGAATTGGAAGAAGATGACATGTCCTTCTCTTCTGGCAGCGGTTCTCAACCTGTGGATCGTGACCCCTTTAGGGTTTGAATGACCCTTTCACAGGGGTCACCTGATTAATACCAGTAGCAAAATGACAGTGATGAAGCAGCAATGAAAATAATTTTATGGTTGGGGGTCACCACCACATGAGGAACGGTATGAAAGGGTCGCAACATGAGGAAGGTTGGGAACCACTGCATTATGGCTCTACTGCCTCCAAGGAAGGAGCAGGCATGGGCTTGACTAGAAGCAGCAGCATTTGTAAAAGTGCTGCCAGATGGTGCAGCTATTTCCAGACTTGCTGGACGGTTCTTACAGGTTTTCTCTTACCCCATTCATTTATTCATTCACCAGCTGTTTACTGAGCTCCTGTGATGAGAAAGATTCTGTGGGGGGATACTGGCATAAATCGGAGCAAATATATCTGTCTTTTTTGTTTGTTTGTTTATAGTAAGTATGTATTAAATCTTACATATATATCAGAGCCCAAAGCAATAGAAATCAATAGGCAGATCAAAATATCTGTCTTAAAGGCAGTTATAGTTTAGTAAGAGAGATAAACCAGAAATATCAATGTCTGAAATTCAAGGTAGAAGATGTTCAATGACTGCAGTCGATAGCTAAAGCACCATAAGATTCCAGACGAGGAAGGAATTGCTGCTAGCGATTGGGATTAGGGAAGGAACTATGGAAGAAGGGGGCCTTTGACTTCACCATTGAGTGGAGTTGGATTTGAACGTGGGGAGACTGGTGGGTGGAAGGGCCCGCCTGGTGGAGGGAGTGTCGGCGCAGAGTGCTCAGTGCAGGCAGCGGGACAGGGAGCCGAGGCTTCAGCAAACGCAGCGGGGCTGGGGAGACACTGTAGACTGGGGTTGACTAAGAGGATTCCCTTTCATTCATCCCTTTCTTCATCATGTAAAAG